GGACACACGATCTGTCGATAATGTCCCTTTCCATGACAAACTAGGAAGAATATTTCCTGTAGTAGACCGCCGTTACTCTCTTTGATAGACTGGTTGCTAAGAAAGGCTATAGGGTCTAGTATGTCCTGCGATTCGACCCCTAACTTTATGGAGAAGAGATGGATCCATACCTTTCCCAAGGGTATTTGAGCTTAAGTGAATCTAACAAACCCAACTGGAATTCGAACTCGGCTCTCCGATTTCTCATTCCGAGCCAATAGCCATTCCACCACACATACATATTATATATTAGTGAAACAAGATTGCTAAATATTATCTGGTGGTTGATTCTATATAGAAACAAGCATAAAGTTATACTGTTCATTTGTAGATAGATTATACCTTGGAAATCTATCTACAAATGAACAGTGTAACGTTATGTTTGTTTCTTTATAGAATCATCCACTAGACAGTGGAGTAATGGATTATCTGGGACGATACAAGAGCTCGATAATTTTTCCAAGGTATCAGTCACTGATGTGAGATGCGTGATACACGCTTAGTCGATCATGTATCTTTCGACTCATGACTGACGAGGCAGATTTTTCCCGCAGTAAATTGATAGCGGCTCGGATTCCAGTCGAATCCATTACATTCACGTACGTACTAATACCCTTGGGAAAGGTATGAATCCTCTTCTTCTCCCCAACACCAGCTATGGGTAAATAGCAGGACAGACCGAGTTGTATAGCCTTGGATGGCAACTGGTTTACCGCAGAAAGAAATGGCAAGCTGCTGCGGAAAAAAAACTGCCTCGTCAGTCATGTATCGAAAGATACATGATTGACTAAGTGTGTATCACGCATTGCACATAATTGACTGATACTTTAGAAAAACTGTCGAGTTCTTGTATCGCCCCAGAAAATACCTTACTCCTGTTATGCTTTATCTTTACAAAAGTCAGATGAGACCAAAAATAATGTCCTGCCGCCATGCTTGGGCCAAACTGTCCAATCCTCATATACCCAAACTGATAGAGTTTTTTTTTTAAATCATTTCACCCCAAATAAGCCAATAGAGCTAAGACCTGATGGGGTTATTGTATGTGAAAGAATATAAGAAACATATTAATAACGAGCGAGAACAAAAGAAGAATATAATTTAAGAGGACAAAAGATAACGATTGACCTTGTATTTAGATTTTTTAAGATCAAAGTTGACTGGAAAGCAAGAAACTGGAATAGAGTTCCACAAGAGAGAAGTGCGAGAAAAGAAACTGTTAGCATAGAACTTACACCTAGCCATTTTTACTGAAAGATAATGAGATTTGCTGCCAATCTAATAATGCGCGTATATTCATAGAATCTACGCACTATCGAAGAGAGTTCATCAGAACAATTACCATGAAAATATTTATAGAAAAGGCATAGACAAGCTACATTACGTCGGTGAGAAAGATGCCAGGTACAGGACTAGTAACATTGCAGATTCTTCTTTGGATTTTATGAAGGATCCCTAGATATATAATTGGAGCATCAGATCATATATGGAAACAATATTTTAAGCATGGACGAATGGTAGATTTCTAAATATGTAGGAAAGATAATGGCGAGAAAAATTGTCTAATACGACACTGAACAAACCTTCTTAGCAGCAGACACCCAGCAATCGATTCGATATAATCTTTCCTCTTGTCAGTGGAAAACAAGCCTGAGAGGGCGTAACGTGTCTTTCTCCTGGGGGCTAGCACCCAACAGGCTGATGGAAGACAGAAAGGGTTCGCTCAGAAGATTAATAGTGCGCAGTTTTGATTTGGAGCTTGTTTTCGTGTTGTCTTGTGGGAGGATGAGGTATTTTTCAGTCTGCAGCCAAATTCCTAGTAATGCAGTGCCGCATTCTAATCGATCCTCTATCGCTAGTTCCATGAAACATGTTCAGATGATCTACATTCTTTTGTTACAATAGTTCAAACTTTTACAACTAGGACATGCCATGCTATGCCCACGTAATCGAATCACCCATATTCCCTCCGTATTCCATTTGTAAGAAGGAAGTTTCACCCAGACAGATTTTCCTTTATAACTGCTACTTTGTGAAACACAATACTGCGTACATGCTTTCATGAACACTAAAATTGTAACCTCTTCGCTAACTGTTCGAATCCTCGTAGATATTCTTTCTACCTCTTCTTACGTTAATATCACACACTTCATTCGGTAACACGACCATGAGTGGCTCTTGGGACTTGTATTGGGTGAATTTACGTATAAAATATCATAATATTTGCATCGTTGAATATTATTTGTTTCAAATAACAGAGTGTATATTTATAACCTTGGGATTCTCTATGTTCTCTTGGTGATCATTTGCCGAAGTTATGATTTAAGTGGCAACTATAGAAAATATAGCTGATGAGTTTCTACTAGGAGCTCCATGAACAAGATTAAACAGTGCAAAATGCACATCATCCAGTGCCCATTCATTTAAACGATTTGATTAGGAATAGGGTTTTCTGAATATATAACCAATTCAAACACGACAATGCTGGTAACATAGATATTGCTACCTTGTGTGTTCTGTTATGCTACCACCGAATTTAACAACTAAACAACCACTGGCTTTTAACTAATGAATTAATTCATGGAATAAGATTAACAAAAACTTGACAATATTACTAGTCCTTCATTTAATGGAGAACAAATGTATAAATCATTTTTCATTCGCTACACGCATTCTGTCTGTAAGACTGTCATTCTCTGTTTTCCGAGGGTAGAGTGAAGTTCGTCTGTAGTTATATATGTGACTGAGCTGAAAGGTTTATAAGCTGACTGTGAAGGAGTGATACTAGAGCCGTGAAATCTTGCATGCATTAATTTCGAATTCGTTATTAATAACTCTATTGGTTCTTTCCGGTTAAACAAGCATCTGACTGTTCAAAGAAGACTTAAAATGTAACTTGTAGCGACTTCTCTTTGAAATGGACGTATTTTGGTATCGTGGCGTTATTAAGTACCGGCCGAAAAAAAGTGTTTAGTACCCAACGATATTCGTGCTGATATAGTTGATACGTAAGGAGACGAAGCTCCAACTTTATCAACAATACAAAAGTGGACAACTGAATTTAGGATGGGAAGGGAGAAGCTTGATTAACACTCAAGATCTGGACGTCCTGCGACTGTTATCACCAAGGAAAACATTGATTCGTGTTCAATATATGGTGATGAATGATATAGCCAATATATATTCGTATATATATATATATATATATATATATATATAGAGAGAGAGAGAGAGAGATTTGAGAATATTCTGTAAAAATGAACATGGCATGACAAAGGTTTCTACTCGGCGGGTTCCACGTTTTCTGACACCTGATCACAAAAGCGCAGCAGGCTGACATTGTTTTAGGCAAATCCATCTGGTTTTCTTGAACATTTCCTAACCTAGGATGAGTGTTGGCATCATCACTTTGGGCCAGAGACAATTTATGCAGATAACACTATGGCATTCCTCACCTTCCCCAAAGAAGGCCCAAATCATTTCATTTGCAGGGAAGACGATAGCCTTAGGTTTGAGATGCAAAAAGCATTGTGTTTATTGACTTTCTTCAAAAGGGCCACACCATCAATGGAGAGCACTATGCCCACTTCCTGGTGCAGATAGGAAAGTTAAAACCAAACGCCCAGGAAAACTGACGAAAGGTTACTTGTTTCATCGAGACAGTGCTCCAGCGTACAATTCTACTGCTGTGTGTAACTGTGGCTTTCATCTTTTTGTTAAAATCCGATTCTTCTGATTCAACTATCATCTGTTCCCCAACATGGGCAAACAATTGTCTGGGAACCAGCATCGCCTGGAAAGAAACAATGTAGTTATTAATAAGAAGAGCATATCTTAACGCATGAGAGATTTCATACATCTAGTATCACTCTCTTCATAGTCAACCTATGAACTTTTCAGGCCACCAGCATATGCTGGGTTTATTTTCGTTTCAAACTGGCAAAAGATATTCCACTATGACTGCCTTAATTTCTACGTTTTTACTTGATGAGGTCCGGTGAAGAAAAAGAAGAATTCTTGAAGTTGGCTCAAGAGAGTAAAGATTGCTTAACCGAACAACATCCTTGTGTCTTGATTGATAGCGCAGGCGTTATATTTAGTTCTTGCATGTCCAGAATGTTAGATTCTCTCGCTTCAACGAGGGTTTATCTTTTTATTGATTTTTTTCGAGGTTAAATGGAGAAAAAATAATTAAAATATTCAGAATTCGAAATAGAGCTTCGCGTCGAACAGATTCAGATACCGATAGAAAATACATCACTATCATTGCCATGAGACAGTCTACTTGAAAGTAATATGGAAGATATGGTGTGGGGATGAACAGATCATTAATTCCTTCTTGTTATTATTTAAAGCCTTCTCTCTTTGTAGCATTTTGGCAAAATTTGCACAGATTATAACGAATATAAGGAGCAAGAAATATCAGTTACAAATCTAAATTGTTTTTAAAGCCCTCTGAAGAACAGAGACATAAGCGAGTGTAGCGCTGATGCGTAAAATAACGGGTAATATTCTTTCTCGTGTTACTATTTGAAAAGGGTAAGTTCATTTTAATGGAGACGAAAGAAAACCCACACTCTTTACTCAGATATGATGTTGTACAGTTACGGATCCCTTCAAATCCTTGTTAAACACGAAACAGTTAATTTGAATATTTACTCCGGCAGCTTATTTAAGATAAGAAAAATGCTGGGTAGTTTTTTTTTCATGTTTAGGCATGAACCTATAGTTTTAGATATGAAACCATTGTAGAAAACAAGAACATGATTGATACGCCATCCACGCAATAGGATGTACTTGTTCAACGGAAGTGCTTGTCAAGTAGATAGCAAGATTCGGAAGAAATCGGAATTTTCCGGTCCTCACGAAATGTCTCGCAGCGAAATATCATATACTAAAGATGTCACTAGAATGACTGAGAAATTGCAATTGATGCACACCCAGCCCTCTTCCTCTTGAAGAACAGTTTTTCGCTACCGAAGAACACTCTCCAGAGCGCCCCTTGCTACCTCGAACTGGATTTCTTATACGTGATGGATATCACAATTAAGGGATGCGTGGGGTTCATTTGCAACGTTAATTTCGACAACACAGGCTGGAGGCAGGCGAAGCTCCCTTTGAGTTTCAGAGGCCTGGGCCTTCGATCAGCGGCAGAATTGGTCCTTCCACCATATCTTTCTTCACTTTCTTCCAGTCATGAATTAATTAATGAGATACTCGGTGGATCGTCTCAATGTTTTTCGTGTAGCTCTTTCGAACAAGCTTGTAGCATCTGGGCCCAAGAATTACTTTCTATCCTACTAGACACATCAAAACAGAAAAGCTAGGATAAAATAAAATGCAAGGCCAATTTTACTAATTTGAGGCTCTCTCTGGATCAGCACCGCCTCGCCTGTCTACTGTTTGCTTCACAACCGAGTAGTGGCGCCTGGCTCAACGCGGTAGCCTCTTGATCTACCGGTATCCTTCTAGGTGATGAATGCACTCGGGTCGGAGTCGCGATCCGTCTTGGGCTCAAATTATGTGAGCGTCATAGATGCAGATGTGGAGCTTCCATTGATGAGTTTGGTTTGCATCCTCTCTCCTGTCGTCGTAATGCGGACCGCTTTCCAAGGTATGCAGCAATAAACATCATCATCAGAAGAAGTCTAGATGCAGCTGGGTTCCATTCCCAAATCGACCGTGGTGATGGAAAGCGGCCGGATGGCATTACCATTTTCCCTTTTTTAAATGGCGAAGTCGTTGATTTGAGATGTGACCTGTACCGATACATTTTCGAGCTGTAATTTGATCAGGTCCGCCGTTGATCCCCGGTCTGTCGCTCGGGACGCGGAGATAGAAAAAATAGTTAAATATTGTTCTTTTGCTGACAGATTTTTTTTTTTTTTTTACTCCTGTGGCAGTGGAGATTTCTGGGGTTATTGGCCCTCGTTCGATGGCGTTCCTTCGGAGGATTGGCGGGATGGCGTCTCGATTAAGGGACGAGCCTCGAGTAGCTCTTGCAGTGTATCTCACTGGCAATTGTACGAAGTAATGCTTTCTCCATCATTGCAGCTGCAGAGGATAGCAAAAAAAAACAAAAACAAATCCCAAAAACAAAAAAAAAAAAAATTTTGTTTATAGATACTTTATTCAAATTTTGTTGAAATAATTTCACTTCTTTTTCTTTTTAAAAATAAAGTAAAAAAAAAAAAAAAAAAAAAAAAAAAAAACGAAATAAAATAAGAAGAGAAAAAAGAAGACCGCTGAACATCCAACATCTGGATGATCTGAATTGCACATTCTTTTGTTTATGTTTTTAAAATTTGGTTTAGATAAAGAACTAGTAAATACACAAACCAAGTTTCACATAAACACAAACATACGCGGATATAATTATTTGGAATGGTCAAGAACACAGCTCCTTAAGGGACATGTCAATTCGTAAATGGTATTGGTTCTCTGTAATGTTGATCTTGCGGGTGAATTATTTTTAACGATGATGTTACTGGTTTTAAACTTTTTAGCAATAAATAATTTAATTTTCTTGTTTTTATCGACTGGAGTTGGTTATAGTTAATATACACTTGATTTTTGTAGAAAATGTTAATATTATTGTTTTTTCTGTGTGTTTTCCGTTGCTGTTGGTTACCTTAGAAAGAAAAAGCTAATATAGTAATCTATAAGATGTTTTGGAAAACAGTTATTAACAAGAGTTATTAACAAGAGCATCAAATCAACCCATGAATTCCTCCAAATCTTTCAAACTACTAAACTAAACCAAAGCATTCTAGCGTCAATTGACGTTGAAAATTGATTCACAAATGTCCCTATTGACGAAACCATAGATATAATCCGTAATTCCGTATATAACAAATAATTCAATTCTGTCTCCATCCATCAACCACAAAATTCTCAAAAAATTATTACATGGATGTACTACTAAAGTCCTATTCTATGACCATAACGGAAAAATCTACACTCAAAATAATGGAGTTAGTATGGGAAATTGGCCTGTGCTTCTCTATTGCATGTCTTACGTAGAAGACAAGGTTTATAAAAAGATTATTAAACCAAAAAAATACGTCCGCTACCTAGACGATATTTCATTTTAAATAAAATCGATACTCTCAAAATTACATTAAAAAAAATTATGTCCTTAACTTTACTTATGAACTTAGCTAGCAAAATCAACTCAAATTCTTGGATGTTTTCGTGGAGTCTAGTATTAATACATTCACTACTTCGTTATATAAAAAAAAACACAAGTAAAAATTCTTGCCATCTTAGTTTTACTAGCGAATGTCCTGTTGGATATAAAATAGGTATTATTAAAAATTTCCTTATAATCTTGTTCGAGTTTCTTTAAAGAACTTAATAACATAAAACAAACGCTTGTTAATAACAGTTTTCCAAACCATCTATGGTAACCAATAGCAACAAAAATCACACAGAAAACAAACGATAACATGCGTAGTAACTATAAGACGAATCTTCAATTACAAACAACCTAAATAAATGCGCAACTCCGGTCGATAAAAACAAGAAAATTAAATTAATTATTTATTACAGAAAATTTAAAACTGCGAAGCTCATCGTTAAACAAAATAATTCACCCGCAAGATCTACATTACAGAGAACCAATATTATTTACGAATTTACAAGTTCCTTAAGGATTAGTTTTCCTGACCAATCCAAATTCGTAAATGTTGGATATAACATGTTTAACAAGAAGACTCACGTTACGTCTCTCGGGCCATAGCTCAATTAGCTCTCATTTAAATACACATTGAGATTTACCAAACTCATACCGTAACGTACTCGTTAATAATACAAATATAATAGCATCATACACATGTACGAAAAGGCTAAAAATAATGGATGCACTATTGATAAAAAAAAAAATCCAGCACTGAATGACATCAAATATGAACACGGTCACAATGTGCTGAATGTGTTTAGAAAATAAAACATTCCTATAACTCTAGATACATACATAAAATAATGCATATATTCAGTTAGAAATAAAATTCATCCTTGATAATGGCTAAAAGTATAGCCGAAAGAGGTTGGAAAACATTCGGACAATTTTTCTATAATTTATGTCCTGAAAAGAAAAAAATTATACGAACACATGAGAAATTATATAAAATGCTCAGCCACCACACTTTGCATATCTCTCTCTCTATATATATATATATATACACACACACACTGCTTATATGTTATTTCAGTAGATACAATTAATTTAAGTAAGTGCTCTGTTTTTAATTAAGAAGTATTAATTACATTTACCAGCCTGAACATTCGAGAAATTTCATAGCAAATACGCCTTCTCTAACAGGAATCGAACCTGTGCCCTATTCGGAATCGTCATTTGATCTGATCTGATGTGCTATACCGCTTAGCCATAGAGAAGCGCCTGGTTAACATAGTTCAAATTAATATTTTTAAACGCACAATCTTCGGCGATTTTTTTCGATTGAACATATCCGTTCATGAAATGTATCTTTAACGTAAACAATGACAACATATAATGAAATGGATTAAGTCTGACACTTATTAATATATTTTCTGTTTATACGTTCTTTTAATATAAAAATCATTAAATAAATAAGGAAATAATTAAACCATGAAAATAGGAAACCATTAAAAAATTTTTGAAACCATTGATAGTCTTGCAATCTAAAAATATTTTCTGACTTTAAATAACCTGCAAAATTTGATAAGACGTAGAAAACGAATCAATCAATCAAATATTTTATTTGTCCATTAATATTTACCATATTTTTTCAGTCAATAAATTTTCTCATTACAAATTGTAATGAGATTAATAATATTACCTGTTTCCTTGTGTGGTAACATTCAGTCTCCATTGATCGAGTAGCCCCTGTCACTGTCGGTTGAACCTTATAAAATCTTTTTATTACAACAATTTTTCAGGAAAATAAGTTTTCTCAAGTATACTAGCTGTCATAATGCTCTCCAGTATTGATGGGGCCTTCCTTCTTGGCTTTTTCTTTGAACTAGTGTAGACCGTCAGCATCTTGATTATGATATTATTTCCTCTTTGAGTTACATGATTAGTAAGTTTCTCAAACACTAGCTCATTGAATTTAAGTATTTCAATCCAAAGTGTACAAGCAAGAGAGGCTTTAATACTGTAAATGATAAATAAGTAAAATTATTTAAAGGCTGAAATTATTTATTATCATAGTATGAACTATTCGTAATCTTTGAAGATTGAACCCTAACATTTTTCTCCCGTGAGTCGAGATGTTCATTTGCTTGCTTGGATAATTCTCCGAGGTACTCATATTAAATGTTCTGATGCGCTTTCCTTGTTAGCTCGACTTCACGAATTTACGCGGAGTACTAGATTTAAAACTAAGTCTCATAATTGTACTACTGAAATTGATAGTTGCAACCGTAAATTCTATGTTATGAGTTTCTTCTTTCGCTCTTCTTGCTTGTGGAACTTCCGGCTTCAAAAATCTAAATACAAGTCATTCGTCATCTATATTCTTCAATCCTGTTATTTTGTTGTCCTCTCTTTTGCTCTCAGTAACCCCATGCATCTAAATGTAATGTCAATCGCCATCTACTGATGCCTTGATTTCCGTTCTTCTTTTTAACCTTTCCTCAATCCCACCTTTACCCATTTTGTTTTCATTCTTTGTAAATGGTACTTCTGCCTTGCTTGGGGTAAAACGCTTAAAAAAATCTTAGGAGCCTTTAATTATATTGCTTGGAGTAAAAAAAAAAGAAAACAAATAAAAAACAAACTTTAATCTTGTGTCTCTATATTGCTGACTTAAATTGTCGAAAAGAAAACATTACCAAAACGCTTAAGCAGCACCTCAAAAAGTCTAGCCCGTCCCAATGTTGTTTAATATTGTTTGAAAAACCTGCAAAAGTTAATCGTCCAGCTGTTACGACAACAAGATTAGTTTGGAAGCTGTTGTGGTTAGGTCCCTCCGTCCAGAGATAAACATGTTTTGCTAGTTGGGGGCGGACTTATCGCACAGCCGGCCAGTCTCGTGCTTTACATCAGTTCACGATGCTCCCACTGTTATTTCCATAGCCTCTATGAAACTTGATTTCATAGCTTGAAAAGTACCGGCGATCCCTTCTGAGCAGGATGCCAATGTCATGTCATAGGCCTCTGGGAAAACGAACTTTGGCGTATTATCAAATAAATATAATACATCCACCATTTGCTGCATTTTTAAAGCAATGTCTTAAGTTACAGATGTTCTTTCTTTCTTTCTTTCTTTCTTTCTTTTTTTCTTTCTTTCTTTCTTTCTTTTAATCTCTGCACAGTTTAAACTGCAGCATACGTCACTTCCGCCTCCGCTACAAGAGAGCAGATGTAACGTTTGTTCCGAGTCGCACCTCGTGAACTCTTCAAATGTTTTTAGCAAACGCCGACGATGCTCAAATATTACTCAACGCACTCATTCACACATGTGGCACATATTTATTTTTGTGGCAGCCCATCGACATCTGATGACAGAGACACTTTATTTATGTAGTAACCTTAGTTAAGGGCGATTAAGAAAGGATCTATGCAATATCTTTTCTCCTAAAACAGGTGAAAAAAAGAGTAGGCCAAACAAACACTGACATTTTTGAATGATTACGTCATTCGACACAATATGGGTATTAGGTAAAGTTAGTATTTTCACCTTTTATCGATAAAAACACGTTAACTTAACTTATATTGTTTAATACGAAGTATAACAGAAATTTGTGCAGATTAATACGGACATGACATTCGGAGAGATATTCACTAATTGAGATTTGTGTATTTGTAAGTCAATAGGATCTATAATAAAGCTTATATTTATAATCAGAAGAGACAGCTGAAACGTCTGATACTCATATGATATACTGAAAAGAGTGACGACGCAATTTCTTTCCGGACAACTTTCATCTTTAAAAATTTAAATTCAATGTCATTCGTTATCTACTGTCTTTCCTGATTACCCTTCTGTTGTTATCGCGTCTTAGAAATGTTTCTGCATTCTAATTCTTCGGAAAATTAACCCCTTGTATCTTAGTGACTTTACTGTCTTGCTTGGGGTAAATTGGATTAGAAAAAAAACTCTGCTTACTGAGTTTGAGTGAATGGATAGTAGAACAATGACAAATGGGGATGATAAAATGTCAAAATTTATTTAAAACAACAAAACACAGGACGTCGTGCAGATACATGACCGCCCAATTCTGAAGAGACATGGTATATAAAAGAAGAATTAAGAAAATTTTGTTAGGAGCAAAGAAAAAAGTACTGAACTATTATACCAAATCTTATTTTCCTATATGACAATCAGTTTGAGTGATGGCAGAACGAAGATGAATGTTGACAAATGTGAGTTATGAAAATTATACTGTACGTATTTTCTAAGTCAACAGTTTGCATTACAAAAATACCATAGGGAAGATTTGTTTGTATCGAGGCTCAAACCTCGACCTGCCACCCGAATGTAATACGCAACTAGGTTCCAGCCCCTAAATAGTAATTTACTGAGCTGGGACACAGTGAGAATCGCCATCGGTACACTGAAGAATGGGTTATAAAACAAGTTTGTCTTGTTTTAACCATCATGAGAAACTTATATACAGCTGACAATTTAGATATTTCTGAGCGAATTTCGCGCCATGAAAGATAGCCATATGAAAGTCTCGATCTGATGATATTATTTAAAAACGCCACTACAGATTTTATTATTAACTAGACTATCCGTGTTCCTTTGGGTCACTGACGGTTCAGGTTATAAAACATTGAAGTTGATTTTAACATTTCATTGAAATGGAAGTAAATATTATTCGGTCAGTTATGTGCCATGTGTGATACATGCTTAGGCGATCTTGTATCTTTCGATACATGACTGACGAGGCAGATTTTTTCCCGAAGTTGGCTGCCATTTCTTTCTACGGTAGATCAGTTGCCATCCAAGACTATAGAACCCAGTATGTCCTATTATTTACCCATAGCTGGGGGAGAAAAAAGGATTCATCCTTCCCAAACGGTATTAGAACGTAATGGATTCGACTGGAATTCGAACTCGGCTCACCGATTCCGTAATCTGAGTCTTTATCCATTACACCACGGTATTTCAATTTGTTCGCGTCATCATTGGTCTGGTTTACAAGTTTATGTTTAACGTTTTACTGATTGTTTACAGCATTTAAAAAATTCCGAGATAAACTAAAATATTTTAAAATCATATTCACTCGAGAATAATTTTTAAATATGCCAAAAATATATTTTTTTAAAAAAATATTGTTTGTTTAAAGAAAACTTGAAATATAACTAATTATTCTCCAAACAACTGGATAAAGCGGGATCTATTTGCGTCTGTCTTTAACTTAAAAATATTTTAATTAAAAAATTGTCTATTTGAAGAGAGTTAAAATAAAAATATTTACTGTATAAACAACTCGTATTAACTTAAATCAGATTAACTCGTATTAACTTAAATCAGATTAACTTAAATCATTATGTGTTGGACGGACGCATCACAAAAGCGCGTACGCAATCACAGACTTTAGTATTATATAGATGTTTTGGTGTTTAAGCAATTTGCAATGTTGGTTGAGACTACGCCGCGTGCAGTCTATTCTATATTCAATTTCCTTTTCTTTATTATTAAATTTGTTATAGCTGATCCATTTAGCAAGATTCGGAATTGGCCGAGCAGCTAGGTTGAATTTTATAAAATCTTTCTATTAAATCAATTTTTCAGTAAATTACTTTTCTCCGCTAAAAGTTATTACTCTTTTCAGTATTGATAGGAGCCTCTTTTTCTAACCTATTATTTGAAGTAGTGTGGAACGTAAACAACTTGAATATGTCTTTATTTTCTCGTAGAATTACATCTGCTATACATTTTAATTGATGCCGTTGAGAAAAATTCTCCGATGATACGGTTTCTGTTAATTGGTAAAGTTCTTTGTTTGGGATTCTATAGCACCAGTACAAGAAAGTTGAAGAAGTATAGACCTCGCTAAGAATTACAGGCTTCATTCACTGGAAGCCGCCTTTAAACATCGAGCTAAGAAAACAGTTTCGATATTTCTAAACGGCTTTGGCGTCATGCATAACGTCCATATGAAAGTCTTGATCAAACGAGGCTATTTAAGAACATTGATCGAGTTTTTTTTATGTTAATGATTTGGTTGTATAGGAAGTTGTAGTGTTAGACAAAACTATCACTAGCACAGCCTATATTAGGTTCAGTAGCTGAAAACATTCACGTATTACTAGATATCAGCAAATATTTGTCTTTGAAGGAAATAGTAAATAAATCACAGGTGCTTAAATCTGCTTAAATAAGTTGGATGGCCAGTTTTTTTAAATGGGTATTCCATCAAAAGATTCAGAAACTCCAAATGCTTTATACGCAGGTGCATTGTCATGGAGGCATTTTCCTTTCGATGTCTGCTATCAACACTGTGTCAGCTTTTTGTGATGTCAACGAACACTCGTAATGCTCGTTGTAGTAGAAACTTTATAATCGCAGTTACAACTATGGTAACGCCGTTGAGCAATACCGGTGTCAGACGACTTCGAATAATACGCCCATTAATAGTACTTGCTCGATAATACTCACACGAATATTAATCCATATAGTGAAATAGTAAAGTGAATATAAAATAGCGGTCTGTATAGTAATAAAGTAGAAATACAAATCCGAATAGTAATAGATGTTAGGCTACAAGTGACGATCAATCTAGACGTCACGCGACTTCCTATATATGCGTTTTCTTCTATGGTCACGTGATCCATTTAATTCAATAATGGGATCGCCTTTTGTTTGACTCTGGCGATCTATGTTCAAACTCAAGTGCCGGCAGCGACACTTTATTCCTATATATAACACATCTGTATATCTAATAGTTAAGATTTTGACCGTCACTAATGAATCCTAGTAAGAAATTTACTTCTCTCAGAATCACCTCACTGTATAGGTAGAATAGGTCCGGTAAGAAGACACATCCTTGTCTTAAGACGCTTTCTATTTTTTCTTAATACAAAATGCATAATAACGGATAGCTACTCCTTTCCGAGTACACCTGCCTGTACGAATGTCTCGCTAATCCCTGTTGCAGACACTCATTCAGTTGTGTTTCTTTAATATTCTCAAAGCCAACTTCCGGTATATACTGCAACAATGTTGAGCGAATCTTAGTTACAGTTTTTGTAAGTGATCACGTAATCTAGCGTGATCAGCAGTTGAACAAAGTCAATATGCTGAAACCCTCGGTCACGATGACTTGGGATTTCGTGCTAGTATAACTATGTACAATTTTCGTCTAGGCAATTTCATTCAGAATAGTTACAATTGTTCTAGCGAGACTAGCTTGCTTACCATTGCGCAATGTCGAAGTGCCCATAAGTATCAATTATAAGAAGACAGAATGCATGGTTGTCAGTAAAAAGAAAAGTCCAATATGCAGATTACAAGTTGGTGTTGCCAAAATCAAGCATGTACAAAATTTAAATATCTAGGAAGTGTTTTAACAGAGGTCGGAAAATCCGACATCGAAATCCGAAGGCGAATGGGGATAGCGAAAGGAGCCTTCTAAAAGCTAAGCAAGGTATCAAGAAACAGAAAACCCTCATCAGAAATAATGAAAATAGTACTTAAATGTTATGTAATATCGGTCTTCCTATGTGGCAGAGGAAGCTGAACAGCATCCTCAGAGGTGAAGAAGAGACGAGGCAACAGAAATAAGGTTCTACAGGAGGATGCTATAGCCAGAACATGCGAGTAACGAAAAAGTTTTAAGGAAAACGAAAAATGAAACATAATATAAAGAAAGAGACAGTTGAAATTTCCCGGATAAATAATGAGGAAGGACGGCTTGGAAAATTTGATATTCAGAGGACATATTAAAGGCAAGAGGGAGAACGGAAAACATCTAATAACCTACCCAACGAACTCGTGTAAATGGATCTCAGAACTGGGCGAATGCCGTGTCTCTTCAGAACAGAGATATTAAAATGATAAATATTGCTTGGAGCTCAAAATTACAGGAAATTATGGAGAGTCGTGAACGTTGACATACTGAAGGGACAAGGCATATAAGATGTTATATTCCTGTAAAAACGGTGCTATCCCGCATTTTACAAATACGATAAAAGTTGATTTTGTCCGACAGTCACTCGTTTCTCTAACAACGTATTTATTAAAGAGATATAAAATTAGCTACGTTGTGCAAAGATCGTAACTACAATAAATACCCCAATCACCCTCAGAAGTTTTATGCACATAAATTCCGTCGCTAAAACTCTTCACGTTATTAGTACTCTCATCACCTTCGTCATTGTTTGCACAACTCGAGATAGACAAGTGCAAGTTTTATGATGTGAGACCAATATATGCTGGCATTGCCCTATGTGAAACGGGGTCGGTTAAATTTAGAGTTGATGTATTTGGGTAAAAAGCGTTGATGGTTAGCACTGTATAGTATGGAGGACAGAGAAAAAAAAAAAAAAAATATAAGTAATAGGAAGATGGAGGAATAAAATAAAAGAGCGGTACATAAAAATATATCATTATAAGCTCACAGACTGCTATTTGCACCAATCGAAGCCAACTTTGGTAAGTGTTTTTTCTTTAGTCTATGCCCTCGGGCATTTCTTCCTTTTTTTCGCAGAACATTTTCTTTTTATTACCAGACAATTATTTCAGCTTTTAGTTTCTTTTTCCTTTCCTACGCGTTAATCCCCGATTATTTACGTTCATTTACTCTGTCTCTCTCTCTCTCTTATTATTATTGCCCTTATATATGCTAAGTATTCCTCGGACTAAGTTCCATAATTCTTTTTCGTAGAAACAGCATCACCCAACCAAATCCGTAATTGTTTATTTTTGCTGTTCGCGTTTCGTAACCCCGCGTAGATTAGTGTGATCTGTTTAAGGATCTAAATAAAATGTCACGTAAACCGGAAACCCACCCAACTCACACCCGCCCGCCAATAAACGTACACAGTTATTCAGAAACAACTGTACTTTAATATCTTCTACGTGCCGGGCCTCTTTAGGGCGTTCCACAATTTCTTGTCCTTTGTAAGATTCTTGCATGAAAAATGTATCGAAGATCTACCTGATAAGAGGTAACAAATTATTGTAAACAATTGTCAATAGTTAAATAAAACTGCTTTCATTTAACCACCACAGAGAACCTTTTTTGGTGCTTGCCAACAGCATGGCAAATGGCTGATGCTAAACTCCAAAAGAGCAACGCATTGCGCCTACTTAGTCTCACGTTTTCCACTGACATAAAGTAGAGCGACTATATAGAATATATTGCTGCATCTACTGTAAGGAAATTTGGTTCACTGTGTCGTGCCAAAAGATTTTTCTCGTCAGAATCCAACTTGTCCTTCTACCATTCGTCCGTACATTGGATACTGTTGCCATGTCTTTCCTGATGCTACTGCTGTACATCTCAAGATTCTTGACAAAATCCAAAGAAGGATCTGTAATGTAATACATCCTAACCAACACCGACTTTCATCACTTTCTCACGGACTTTTCAATCTGGTATCTCAGCTACATGAATTTAAGCGTGCGATTAGATTTGAAACAAGGTTCCACTTGTTTTACTGCTGAAATTATTAAATGCAACCGCCACTTCTGCTACAAAAGTTTATTTTCTAGCACTTCCCACCTGAGGAACTCCTTTCCGTTTACTTGCTTCTCTGATAACTACAATCTTCAAAAAATTAAATGCAATGTCAATCGCCATCTACCTTCTTGAATCCTGTTCATGTTTTTTTATTTTCCCCTTAATCCTTCCAATCCTCACTCTTCTCATTCTCTTTCCCTTTCATTCCCTGTAGCATTACTGCCTCGCTTAAGAAGAAATTATTATTAAAAATAAAAGGTAATAGAATAAAATGTTTATAAGAATAAATTTGATAAATAAAAACGGCAAATTATTTAGGAGTCAGCGTAATATAAAAATATTTTGGAAAAAATAAAGAAAGAAATAGTGTTGCCATTTTCTTCAATATCTATCTACATTTCCGGGATGAGGTATTATGTACACTATTTACAGTATTCGAACTTTGTTGCCATATTTATCACAACGTTTCAGCCGTTGTACGCTCCGGCCTTCTTCGGGTGGTTGGAATATCGAACTGAACCGTTTATTTCGCTCGCTGGGGTAGACTGTTCTAGTTCCACGTACCATGTCTAATGGATATCAGTTATCTCTTGTTAATTCGCCTCTTCAAGTTATCTACCGCCTTAACCAGGTATTGAACTCACAATCTTTGGGTCCTGTCACTGGATCTAACTAACGCCTTTATCCACTGTGCCATTTGTTCCTTCTTCTTCTTTTATGTGTCGTGACTCTTCAGGACGTCGGCGATTACGGCTCTCCATAATTTTCTATCCTTTGTAGCGTTTTTCATTATTTTTATATCTCCTAAATCCTCTTCTGCCATTGATTTACTCAAGCTCGCCAGGTTGGTTATGCGTTATCACCCTCTGTCCTCCTTGCCTTTAATATGACCCATGAGAATACGATTTTCCAAGCCCTCTTACCTCATTAACTGACCTAGAACTGTCAACTGTTTCTTCCTGATGTTTCCTTCTTGTTTCCATTTTTCTCTAAAACTTCGTTGCTGCTCAAATGTTCGATCCTTGATATTCTTACCATTCTTTTGTAGAGTCACATTTCTGTTGCTTCAAATCTTTTCATCCGTGAAGAATTTGTCCAGAATTTTCTGCCATATAGGAGTACAGTTTTCATGCTTCATAAATGTTGTCACCTAGTAGAGGTTACTGAATGAGGAATAACCTATACGGAGGTTGGAAATGCAAATGGTAATCTTTATAACATCAACAAAAAAAAAAATACTCGCCAGCGGCCTGAAAAGCCACTGCTGGTGGTGGACTACTTAGCATATTACTCTCACTTGGGCGCCTCGAGGTGGTGTAATGGTTAGCAAGCTTATCTCACTAGAACAAATACGACTGAGTTTTCAGTTCAATCCTCAATGGATGTCCCTTACTTTCGGCCTTGTGCCACATCCAAGCTACGCTTAGAACATCATTACCCTCACTTATAGTGTCCAACATATTTATGAGGATTGGAACAAACTCGAGACACGGAATGAGAAAGAAAAGCTTGGAGAATCTGATACTCACAGGGAAAGCGAGACAAGGGAAAACAACACATGGCGTAACTAGCGGGCTTAAGCAAATGGATGAAAGAACAGAGTAGATGGCAATCTACTGACAGAGTGGAAGTTCTGAAGAGGTGGACAGTATACTACGACGGCCTGTAACAATTTCGAGTTCCATCCCGATACTACTTTACTGGAAGTCAACAGGTACCTCACAGGAGGCAAAGACATTCTGCCAATAAAGTAAGGTGCAGGAAAGTCACCTGGAGTGAACAATGTACCATCTGAACTGGAGAAAAATGGAGGTGAATAAACTACGAATGCCCTAACAGCTCTATGCCAGCGGATTTGGCAACAGAAGAAGTCGTCAAAAGAGTGAACCCAGTCACTAGTGATACCCCTACCAAAGAAGCATAATCTCAAGCAATGCCAGAATTATATAACTCTGAACAGCCACTCCAACAAGGTCATATTCCGTATTATCTTGAAACGTGTCTGAAACCCAACGGTGAAGAACTAATGTCAGAAGAGCGGGAAGCTTTTAGAGCCGGACGGAGCATATTTCAAGAAAGCATTTGATCGGATATGGCATGAGGACCTCTGGCGCGCCCTCAGGGGACTCAACATAGAAGAAAGGCTTATACAAGTCATCCAGACCCTCTATGACCAATGCCACCAGTGCAGTTCTCTTGAGTAACCAAGTGGTAAATTTCTTTCAGACGACTATCGGCGTGTTAGACGGGGATGCCTATTCTCTCCAATACTATTCAACCTGGACCTCGGAAAATCTATCTCTATCGGTGGTAGACCTACAAGTCATCCAGGCCCTCTATGGCCAATGCCACCAGTGCAGTTCTATTGAGTAACCAAGTGGGAAATGTCTTCCAGACGACTATCGGCGTGTTAGACGGGGATTCCTATTCTCTCCAATACTCTTCAAGCTGGACCACAGAAAATCTATCTCTATCGGTGGTAGATCTATCTGCAACCTGCGCTTCGCAAACGATATTGACTTTGAGGCGGACAGTGAGAATGGCCTGATCGACAAAAAGAGTCGGTGCTTATAGAATAGAACTCGACAGAGAGAAATCCAAAGTAACGGTGAATAGCACAAACAACGCCAGAGCCAACGTCACCATGGACGGTGAACCATTAGAGGAAGAGTCCAGCTTAAAATACCTGGGAGAAACTCTGTCAACAGACGGCATTTTTAACAAGAAATCCGTACAGTCGTAGCAGCGATGAGCAGACTGGAAAGGATACTCTTCAACGTGTTTCTGAACCAAGTGAATATTGATTTCGGACACTATATTCTTTGTACTACTGTAAAATTAGACTACATCAAGAACAGATTAACAAGTAATAAGCATTGAAATTATTGTACAATCGTAATGATGGAATATCAAATGTATTTTCATTTGTTACTTTATTATTTCAATCAACCTTTCATCTGCAAGCGACAATTAATGATATTATGTTTTGTATGTCATGCCAACTAAAAGGAATCTTCAATTTTACAAACGAGTAGGAATTTATCCTCTGATTTCTGTTTTTGGATTGGGTTTCCAATTCCTTGTAAAGTCTACTTTAACTCTATATTTCTACCGCCTAATCTCTGAAATGCTATGTACTATTTATTTATCTATTTTCCTTAATAGGAGGAGATAGGTTCGCCTATTGTCTACTTCACACTCCTCCTTGATCTTCTGAACAGGAATAGAAGTTTACCGGTTGTTTTTTGTTTTAAGAATGTGTTTTCAGTTCCTTCAAAGTTTTTTTTTATTCTCTTTCATTTCCAGTAGCCTTTGCGCCTTAGTAACATTATTGTCTTGCTTGGGTGAATTGATTAAACAAGTTACATAACCTGCTAATGCCAATATCATACATTTGATATATTTTCACTTTACATTTCGAGTGGATGTTAGAAGCAGGTGTACATGGTATTATGTATCCCTTTTAGAATCTTAAGCTAGGAAAGGTTGTCAATGTCGGCCAAAGAAGCGGAAATGAGTGAAGTGATTAATACTTAAACTTACAAAGATCGCGAACGAGCAGGTTGTAAAAAATGTTTTAAAAAATCTCTGAAAAGTTACGGATTAAATTGGATACTCCAAATAATAGTGGTGTAAACAAAAATTACAAATAAGTACCACACACACTCACTGACACACAGAGGAGAGAGAGAGAGAGAGAGAGAAAATCAAAATCGTAGATACAAAGAGAGAGAGAGAGAGAGGTATGATGTCCTGAATTTGCTAATGGAGGGTAAGTATTAATTTTATACAATGGAATTCTTGTTTCTAACATATATAGCAAACTGATTCCATATATATATATATATATATATATATATATATATTATATATATATATATATATATATATATATATATATATATATGCTTATATGTTATTTCAAGAGATACAATTAATTTAATTAAGTGATCTGTTTTTAATTAAATAATATCAATTACATTTACCAGCCTGAATATTCGAGAAATTTCATAGAAAAATATGCGTTCTCTAACAGGAATCGAACCTGTGCCCTATTCGGAATCGTGATTTGATCTGATGTGCTATACCGCTTAGATATAGAGAAGCGCCTGGTTAACATAGTCCAAATTAATATTTTTAAACGCACAATCTTCGGCGATTTTTCTCGATTGAACATATCCGTTCATGAAATGTATCTTTAACGTAAACAATGACAACATATAATGAAATGGATTAAGTCTGACACTTATTAATATATTTTCTGTTTATACGTTCTTTTAATATATATATATATATATATATATATATGTGTGTGTGTGTGTGTGTGTGTGTGTGTGTGTGTGTCTGTGAAATGTACATTAATTATGTATTGTCATTGTTTTAAACAATAAAAATATTAAAAAATTAAAATTTTCAGACACATTGGGTTGTATGTTAATATTTTTTGTTTTATTATTTCAATTAAGTTCCTCGACTAGTTTCGGCCAACATGGTCATCATCAGGAGAAAAAAAAATCCCTGCTTGTTAGTAGCAGTGAACAACAGGAGTGAATGTCTGTTTCTGAAGAAAGTGAAATTTATCTATGGTTTTCATTTGTTTTTTATCATTAATTTTGGTCAGTCCTTGTGTTGGTGAAAGAGCCTCTTTCAGGTTGTTTTTAAGATAGAGGGTAGGAGATTCCTGACTTTCAGTATACCCTCCTTGGACATTTTAACAGTTTCATTGGTTGCTGGGAATGAGATGCGTGTGTTAAGTGTATGTTATCTTTTAGTTCTGTGGTAGTGTGTGTGATGTGTGTATGTGTATATATTTGCGTGTGTGCGTAATTAAAGATATCTTACTGAATTCTAAGATTTTATAAAACTATTGGACTCTACTTGGAACAATAAGAATGTATTTAGCTCTAAATTGAAATGATACCCCATTTTGCTTTTGTGAACACCTGATCCAGTTTTTCTCTCTACTGTTCCCTCTTTTTAAAATTTATTCACTGTCCTTTTGATGTTTTTTGAATGTACATTGAAAATGGAAGCCAGAGTGTGAATGTTGATACCATTACTGAAGACCCGGATAACCTTTTTCGTCTCACCATTGCTCAATTGGGAAGACATGTTGGGGTTGACACAAAATGATTTTAACCTGTTCACTTTCTAGCTGAATCACTAAAATGGTTCTTCAATGATTCTTAAATGGTGTCAAGATGGCTAAACGTCTTATCTGAAAGCCTGTAAAAAAAGAAACTCAAATAGTTTAGTGGCTTTTTAGATATTAAACATTCTGTGGGCTGGACAATTATCTTATGCTGTTATACGGTTTGGACAATTTTGCTGTTACAGCCGGTATATATATATATATATATATATATATATATATATATATATATATATATATATATATATATTTCATTAAGATGGATCAAAGTCAGCAGTAAATTAAATCAGTGTTATTGATAAAAATTTATTTATTTCTCTATTAGATCATGTTATTTAAGTCATGGCAATTGTGTGTGAAAAATAATATCGCCCAAATGTCCGCCAAATCTAAAATAAAAATAAAAATAACATTAGACGCTTAAACTTAATTCATATTAAAATCAGTCCAAGTTATTGGAACACCCTTTATATGTTTGTGCGTGAGTGTGTGAGCGTGCACGTGTGTGTCTCTGTGTGTGAGTGAGTGTTAGTCTACAAAGAGATAAATATTATATCATTATCCTCAGCAGCTACATCATCATTAGCATCATCATCGCCATGGCCGTATGATGTCGTCGACTCGCTGTGCGCCTCAGCGCCTGACTAGTTCCATCCACATATTTAGAAATATTTATTCATGTACAATATCTCTTGAGCAAGTAGACCTGGCGAATCCTCTCTCTCTCTAGGTCAAACCCCAGCCGTTGTATTCCAGCTTGAAGGCCCTTCTTGGTCACCGAAACGTGGCTGTTGCTTCCACCGGGGAAAATATTCGTACTGGCCGTTTTTCTTCTGTCTCGGAAACCCGCCTCCCATCGACGCCTTTTCATCATCTCACTGGCTGCTTGCATAGCTATGGAGCTAATATTCTGTAACAATCAGCAAGTATATGCTGACCAATATTTACATTTACATCTCATCCATAATAATCACAATATAATTATATTTTGTACATAGTTTATTAACACTATAAATTATATTTTTATGTATATGTGCCACTTATTAAATAATCCAAATTCGTTTATTTATTTCAGTTGTTTCCGATTTAGGCACAAGTTCAAGCAATTTATTGGTGTTTGTTAATCTCCCCGCTTTTTCGCGACATCTGGAATGCATTTCCACCCAGTAAATTTTGTAATGGAACTGCAGTTATGTTTTCGTACAGATGCAAGATGTTGGAATCGGATCCAAGAGGCGATTTCAGGAGAAGATTGAAACTCTGATGTGAGGCCTTTAAGTGGAAATAGCTGGCGCTGAGTACACTTCTACATCCACACTGTCTATCTATCTATCTATCTATCTATCTATCTATCTATCTATCTATCTATCTATCTATCTTCAACTATTCTTGCTAAACTTCAACCAGCAGACCAAAATTTATCTTCTATCTATCTATCTATCTATTATCTATCTATCTATCATCTATCTATCATCTATCAAGAACCAAACTGCTATTAATAAGAGCCAGATCAGACCAAAATTGATCTATCTATCTATCTATCTATCTATCTATCTATCTATCTATCTATCTATCATTTCAAATTATAGATAGGTCAGACCAAAAATGGGGTACTGCTGCCATATCTGGAATGGAGCTGTCTAGTTCTTACTTGCATATCTTAATAGAGTTAAAATTGTCTACATCATTTTACACCCTACAGCCCCTTTTCTACAGACGAAACGTCACGCGTCCCACGGTGCTCTATCGCTATTTCCATGGCATATGTTCTGACGAGTTACATTCTTTAGTTTCACCTCACTAACCATTACTATTTCAAAAACACCAAATTAATGATATGACATTAACCTCCCTAATAGAAATTTTTTGGTCCCCACCATTAAATGAAATTTATCTGAGAAGAAAGAATCAAGCAAAGTTCTATGGGAAGCAATAAAATCTGCTGCAAAAAGTCGAAACCGTAGAAAAATCAACAAAATCCTTGGATGATGAAGCTTATCAAATGGCAATATGTAAACGTGTAAGATCAAATAATAATTTATTTAGGTATATGGGTTCTGTTAATGAAATATACAGTTATGTGGTCTATATCTTTTGGAATTTTTCATGAATAAAAAAATTAGGTTTCAATTACTTTGCACTATAAAAACTGACACATCCAAAACATTAACGTCAGTTTTTAACAGGTTAGTCTATACATTAACAGAAAAAGATTTTATATTTGGTTCTCTATGCAGTAATGTTAATTCACTTCATATTTCTTCAAGATTAGGATTTTTTCTTTTGTCTTCCATTCTCATCATATTTTTTCAACATTTGTCATTCTTTCATTTTTTTCTTTCTTACATTCATCGCATAATTTTTTGTTTTTGGTTCTCTTCATATTTCGTAAGTGTGTTTTATTTTAATGTCTTTCTTTTTTTTATTCCATTTTGTCGTTCCTTCTCTTCATATTTTTTCAATATTTTTGTTGTAATGTAGAAAAGGTTAGTGAATGAAGAATAACCAAAACGGAGATTGGAAATGAAATAGTAATCTTTATAACATCAACAAAATACAATACTTGCCAGCAGCGTGAAGTAGATAAATCTGCTAGTGGTGGATTACTTAGACAGCATATTATCTCCACTTATAATAGTGTCCAACGTATTCATGCGGATTGAGACATATACCCATTAGTGTTCATAGGTAATGTATATAACAACATATATATATATATATATATATATATATATATATATATATATATATATATATATAAGAAATATACTCTTAAGATGTGTTATATTTATTCTCTCTCTCTCTCTCTCTCTCTATATATATATATATATATATATATATATATATTATTATCTTCTGTTTATACGTTATTTTTATAGATACAAATATTTAAGTAAATGGTCTGTTTATAATAAACAGTATTAACAACATTTACCAGCCTGTGTAGTGTGTGACATCATATATATATATATATATATATATATATATATATATATATATATATATATATATAAGAAATATAGTCTTAAGATGTGCTATATTTATGGGATAAAGTGCTCAATATCAGAGATAGAGCGTGTGTAAATATAAACGAGTACGAGTCGTTCGTGGCCTGACGATTGCATCTAGCATGAAACAGACTGTCGCCTCTAAGTGTTGACTTCTATGTTCACTTTCATATATATATATATATATATATATATATATATATATATATGACAGTTTTGTTGTTTGTTTCATTGTTTTTTTCTTGTGTTGTTTTATTCTTTTTCATTGCTTTATTTCGTATTTCTTCAGTTTGTTTTATTTTCGTTCTTTTGTCGTTCCTTCTTTTCATATTTCTTCAATATTTTGTTTGTTGATTTCATTCACTCACTCATTCATTCATTCATTCATTCTTTCTTTCGTTTGAAGTTTCATTCTTTTGTCATTCCTTCTCTTCCTATTTCTTCAATATTTTGTATTTTTTTAAAAATTTCCTTCTGTTTCATCTTTAATTATATTTATTAATTCCTTCATTCAGAAATCGTTTAGATAGCTTGCATTTTATCAACTTTCACAATCTTTTCCTTCACCGCTTCTTTTTTCTTTCATAAATTCTATTCATTGGATTATCCTTATTTTTTTTTTAATATCTTTTGCAGTGCTTTATTTATTTTGCCTTTGTCACATTCCCTTGAACCACTTTATCGCATATAGGAATACACCACAAAATGTCAAAATAAGCAAGCAACTGCTCAGCCAATTCAACATTCCTTTTATTCAACCATCACTTCGCTCCTAAATAAATCCAGTATCGGACAATTAGGGTGTTTTATGAGCCCATTTCACCCACCCACTAATAACCATTCGTCTAGAACTACATTACTTGTTTTTTTTGCTAGACGTTCCACTCAGTACAAAAAAAAAACAAACAAAAAAAAAAAAAAAAAAAAAAAAAAAAAAAACAAACACAAACAAAAAAACGCGTATATGTTGCATTCAGATTAGGGAGTCGGCCATCGTAAAAAAAATAAAAATAAATAATAATACACACACAAAAAAGAAAAGAAAACGTAATAAAGTACACAAATCTTTTCGTTTTTGTTGCAATTAGCTTACAAGGATGGTTTAACTGTTTTTACTATTTTTTTTAGTTTTGTCACAGTGTTTTTAGTGTTTTTTTTTTTGTAATTTTAATGTCAGTGTTTAAAAAGTTCTGGCATTATCGGAACCTGATTACATAAAATGTCTACTTGGATAAGTACTCCTTTACTAACTGGGGTAAATGTAGGAACGGTTCATTTTTTCACTTCAGTTCTCACGAGGGATAAGCCGATAGTGTGGCATTTATCGACAAGTAAAGTGGAATCGTCGTTTCGAGTTCAAATTCTGAGAGAGTCTATTTCGTCCAGTTCTCACTAATGTACTCGGAAAAGGAATTAATCAATTTTCCTCCAGCTATATCTTAAATATCAAGGAAGATTATATTCTCCTGCCTTAAAAGGAAATGAATTTAGGTGAAAAAAAAAAACCCTCTGAATTCATACACCCGTAAATAATACGACAGATTGCGCTCTTTGACTTTGGTAGGGTAACCAGTCTAAAGGCAGGACAAATCTAAAATAAAAAAGAAACTGCTTAAATAGGAATGGGCTCCGTCAGGTTATCTTGCCTGTGAGGGCAGCCAATGCTGCATTAAATGGGGTGTTTCAAGAACCCTAACACATTCCAGGAGTAGCGATACAAAAATAATGAGTGTCATCTCGAATCTCCTTTTAAATAAATTAAACATCATCGCCTAAATAAAATATTTTATTTGTAAGAGAGTTAATACTATTCGAAGTAATTTGTAAGAAAAACAAAAAAGGTCTTTTATTTGTAAGAGAGTTAATACTATTCGAGTAATGGGAGAGAGAGAGAGAGAGAGAGAGAGAGAGAGAGAGAGAGAGGAGAGTGAAGAGTGAGTAAGAAATAAATACATTTGTAAGAAAAACAAAAAAGGTCTTGGGTCATTTGTTTTGATATTTAATTTAAGAATACTTTGAATAGTTTCTGTACACTATTCTTTTTACATAGAGTTCATAATAAAATGTCATATATATATATATATATATATATATATATATATATATATATATATACATGCCCCTCAATGTTAACTGTTAAATCAGTAGTACAATCAATTTAATAAGTTGTCTTTGTGTTTCACTTTCTCATCTTTTTCTTTTCTTTTACTTCTTTTTCTTTTTTTTTGTTTTTTTTTGTTCACTACCTATTTGGACTAAGTCTTATTTCGACGAAGAATGATCAGAAAATAGATTTGGGGTCACTTGACAACAAGCAGAATTATCTCCTAAGAAATCATAATTTGGGATTGTTTCACAACAAACAGAATGACTTCCTAAGTAATAGCAGGAAGGGAATCTGGGATTACTTGAAAACAAACAGAATGATCTCCTAAGAAAGTGAGTAGGAATCGGTCAACTACGCTCACGTGACATAAATCACCAAGTAGGATTTTGTTATTGTAACTATGGTTTCCTGATGACCGCCAACGACAACAGTTGGTGAAAAAATAGAATCCCATCATGCGATCGTAAGGGATGGCAAATACACCCACAAACCTATTCTGTTACTTGTTGTATAGGGTATAGGGGAATTTCGCCCTGGTGATCTTGGGTCTATTTGACTATTTAATGTGTAAAAAATAAAGATCATACCCAGGGAATTTCCTTCTATCGGAACAGAACTCCATGAACCTTTTAAATGGAAATAGGATATTGACAGGCTCTATTGGGAAAGAGGTTTCAGAGTGGAAAATAAGTCATTCTCCACAGGGTCAGGAAAACAATTTCGAACTTTGTCAATTCTGTAAAGTTATAATCGAACAGCTCCAGCCGAGATATGACAGCAATACTCCAGCTACTTTCTGAATCGCTTCAAAGAGTTGGTCATATTTCCGGCATCTTTAGCAGTGGATCGCATATTGAAGTTTCACTCGACGTCTGGGGGTTAATTTGCGTCTCGATAGACGTTCAAAGCAGTGGAACCTCATTGAGAGAACATTTGTTCATCGTGACTGGAAAAAACTTCAACCCTGATTGTTGATGACAAAACAATACGACCTTGGTTTTTCAGATTCTGAAAGTTACAAGCCAGTTTTCCTTACAATTGAAGGCTTTGTGATTTAAGATTTTGCGAAAAGGAATGTTAGAAAAAATTAACTTTAAATTAAAGTTTGTTACTACTGCTGTTTTTTTTTTTCAGCAAACAAAACAAAATAAATGTCCATTCTTGATATTTTATTGGTGTTATGGATTACTTAATGCCGAAATCTAAATATTTTGTACGTAATTTTACGCTTTCAACTACAGATAAAATTGTTGGTTATTCTACTGTAAAAATGTATTATTGGCAAATTTAGTATAAATATGTATTGTTGGTAATGTTTTATATAAAAATGAGTTGCTGGTATTTTTATTATAAAAATTATATTTATATTTTCATAGTCTTACGTTTTTGTTTAGAGGCTCACTATTTCCCCATAGCTTGGTACCCTAACTGGTACTACTATCCTTCATATTGTGTAGATGTTCAGTTTTAGAATGTTA